CACTTTCTTCATTCTGTCTTTCTCAGTTTTGCTTCAGGCTAGATCCTTGTTTGGAAGAAAGGCCAGAGAGATCCATTTGGATGATTCTCCAGGGCTAGACTGCTCAGCAATATCCAAGGGATTCAGGGTTCTAGCATCAGTCTGCATGGTACTGAGAAAAGACCCCCAGTACTCACTGGCCACACCTGTTGGTTGACCGGAGGGCTTCTTCCATTCTTGGATCCTTCAAAAACTTGCTTGCTTTCTTCGGTTCCTTCCCTATAAATCACAGGTCTTCAGTCTGAGGAAAGCAAGACCCACCTACTCGACATCTATTTTTGTCATGAGAGGTTCCAAACCGATGTGTCTACCCTACCCAGATGCCCCTCCTCGGGTTTTGGACAGGAATTGAGTTAATGGGCCTGTCCTATTACACCAATACAACTAAATTCTAGTGTCAGAAAAAATGCTTTAGTAGACGCAGAAGAGTTTAAGGTTTTATTTTTCGACATCTTTTCCAATGTGTAGACTCCCCTGCCGAGGGCAGGTGGGGCTTAGATGCTGCACCAGCAATTGTGTGCTGAAAGGACAGCCTGTTGTCCTGCGTGAAGAGCTTCGTGGTTGGTCTGTTTGGCTGTGTCTGAGCATGTCAAGCATGTGTGTGCACCAAAGCGTTTCCAGGGCTTTTGCGTTTTGGGTCTGGGTGAGTTTTGTCTTTGCAGGATGTTGTTTCCTCGCCCAAAGGGTCGTTTTGTCTTCCTGGTGCATCAGCTGTCCACCTCCCAAGGTCTGGCCCATCCCGGACTCTCCCCGCTCGCCTATGATGAGTCCCTACCTATGTGTCGCATGTCTGTGTGTTTTGTTTTTCCATTACATTTAGGAATGGTTTCGGAAGAAAATTTGTACGTTATTGTCAACCTGGGGGCCTCTTCCGGACTCCCTCTGAACGAAACGACCTTTGCAGCCTTAGCCAAGAAGCAAGGATATAAGACAGGCATCATTGGTGAGAAGCCGTTGTTCTTGGTATCCCCTAGAACGCCATCACGTTTCTGCTTTGTCCTCCTGGGACCCGCTGTGACAATGCCCCCTTCACTCACACACACACACACACACACACACTTCTGATTGGCACCTGTCCATCCGTTTCAGACACGGCCGAGGCACGCCGCAAGACCCCTTCCCACCTATGTGGCAGGTGTGCTTCCCACATGCTTCTCACAGGTGGTCTGTGCACAGGTGCTCTGTGGTAAAGACCTAGGAGGGCTCTCTGTTGCCTCACGATGCTTCGCAGATGCTCAAATCCTGCCTCGCCTCCAGCAGGCCTCATTTAAGACACATGACGGGTCCTCCCGAGAGCACACCAATCACCTGGGCCTCCTTAGCTTTTTATGGAGAATCAAGGTTTTTGTTTGTTTCTGGGTTTTTTTTTTTAAGATTTTATTTATTTATTTTTAGAGACAGGGAAAGGGAGGGAGAAAGAGAGGAACAGAAACATCCATGTGTGGATGCCTCTTGCGCGCCCCCTACTGGGGACCCGGCCCACAATCCAGGTCTGTGCCCTGACTGGGAATCGAACCGGCGACCCTTTGGTTCGCAGGCCGGTGCTCAGTCCACAGAGCCACACCAGCCAGGGCTGGATGGTCCAGTTTGCTTCCGTACAGATGTCTGCATCCTGATGCACCCAAACCAAGATAAGCAGCATGTGCTTTGCTCAGAAAGTTCCCACGGGACCCTGGGCCTTCCATCTCTGCACTTCCTCCACTTCCTCCACTTGCCTCCTCACTTCCTCCACTCTTGTGGCTCAGGAAGGTTAATTCACAGGGCCCACAGAGGATACAACCACAGGGCCAGTGGGTGGCCATTTCGTGGCAGGGACAGGGCATGGCACACAGATGGGAACACTGATATTTACTGGTGGAAGCGATAGCCAAGCATGATGCATTTTCTAACGTTCACAGACAAGGAACTTGATCCTTGGCCAAGCTCAGTGACTGACACATGCCGTGTTTAACTCAATGGCTGCTCCATAAAATCCAAGTGCTCAGGGTCCGTGGGCCTTGCCTGTTTTCTCCTCAGCCTCATTATTTTGTTGAAGCAGACCACAGGCTTCCTTATCCTTAACTGACTGCCCAAGGTGACAAGAATAAACTAACGATGGCCCTTCTGAGAGTCCCATGCTTTATTAAGTCCCTTCCATTTTTGTAGCCCATTTGACATGGATAAAACAAGACCATCTTGGTACCGTTTCAGAACAGAGAAGCCTGCCCCAGGGGGCACTACCTCTGGTCTACCGACCCCCATAGGCCCTGCGAGATGTCAGTTCAGGCATTCTTGATGGGTTCCCAATGGTGTGCAGGTAACTGTTAGTGTATTGTAGACACACGTTGTCATAGTCTCTTAGTCTACAGGCCAGGAGGACCCATGTGGATCATTTGGTTCCTGTTTAAGCGGCGGCGAGTTTTACTGAATAAGTTTTTTGCTTGAATGAAGTTTAGTGGGACACCCTTGGATTTCCAACCAGCCAGCTATCCACTCATCTATCCCTCCATGAATGGGTGTTCCGTCCTCCATCATGTATCTATATCTGTCTGTCTCTCATCTATGCACTGAGCCACCCACCCACCTAGCTATCTATCATCTATGTATTTACCCAATGACCCAATTCATGCATCCATCGTCTCAATCGACCAATCATCTATCTATCTCTCTATCTATCCATCTATCTATCCATCTATCTAGCCACTCACCCAGTATATCCATTCATACAACCATCTGTCATCTCTTTGTATCTATGTATCTATCTATCATCTATACATTGATCCACCTATCCAGCAATCTATGTGTCTATATGTGTATCTACCTATCTACCCATCCATCATCAATATATCTATTCATTATGTATCATCTATCTTCCCTCTGTCATTTATCTATGTTTGTGGCTATAACTTCTATCTATCTATCTATCTATCTCATCTATCTATCTAATCTATCTGCTTATTGATACTACCTATCCACTCATCATCTATATTTTTATTCGTGATGTATCGTCTATGTTTTCTCTGTTATTTATCTATCTTTGTGGCCATAAGTTACATTTGTCTATCTACCTACCTACTTATTTGTTTATTTATCTATCAATCTATTTATCCATCTATTTATCATTCATCTATATATCTATTATCTGTTTGTCTGTCTATAATTTCTCTCTCTGTCCATCCATTTATTCATCCGCCCACTCCTCCATCTACCTTCTATCATCCCTCTCTCTCTGTACACTATCTATCTGTCTACCTACCCACCATGTGTACTCACCTTGTCTATATCATGCATCTATATTTGTGGCTTTGACTTGCCCTCTTGTGTAGGAGAAACTGCCTGCCTCACATCTTTGCTAGAAACTTCCAATTGTCTTTTCCACCCGTAATTTTTATCCTACCAGCTTGTGCACAACCAGATCCTAAGAGAAACATACGCCAGTGAAAGAAGAGAAAAAATGTGAGTCTTTGCAGAGCTCCGAGTTTTAAGGAAAACAAAAACATTTGCCACTCCACTTCTGTGCATTCGCTTATTGTTTCAAATGAAGGCCAATGCCAGAGCCTCTGAGACGTGGAAGTGTGTTATGTGTGACGTGCATGTGTTCAATTGCAGGGAAGTGGCACCAGGGATTAAACTGAATCCCGAAGAGACTACTGCCACCATCCACGCAAGTATGGGTTTGATTCCTATTACGGCATGCCCTTCAGTCTGTACGAGCCCTGCCGTCCGAACCCCTCGCGGGACACGCAGTTAGCCATCGGGAGCAACATGTGGTTCTGTGTGCAGCTGCTGGCCGTAGTGACGATGGCCACCATTGTAGGGAGGCTGGCTTGCTTCATCGACGTCTCCTGGACCCTCCTCCTCTTCATGGTTTTTTTCATTTATCTCCTGGGCTACTTCTGGTTCTGCAGTTACACATCTCCTTTGTTTTGGAATTGCATCCTCATGCGGCAGGACCAGATCACCGAGCAGCCGCTGAAGGCCGATCGGGCAGGGTCCATCATGGCGAAGGAGGCGGCTTCATTTTTGGAAAGGTAAAGCTCATGCTCCCTTAGAGTCACGCAAGGGTCGGAGAAGGAGGATTTTTTAAAAAAGGAGAGGCGGTGCCCTGGCTGGGTGGTTCAGTGGATGGCGGCGTCATCCCCGTACCCCGGAACATTGCAGGTTCGATCCCCAGTCAGGGCACGTGCCTGAGCTGAGGCTTCAGTCCCCGGTTGGGGCCTCGATGGGAGGCCGCCGAGCGACATTTCTTTGTTCTTAAGTAATTCTGTCTCCAAAAACACTCTCTTCAAAGAAGGTCACATTGTGAGTTTTTATGTGGACAATTTTAGAGGAACACCATTCAACCTGGGAAGCCAACGTACACCCTTTTTTTTTCTCCCAGTTTATTTTTCCCCATTCTTTACCCTTTGATATCTCATCAGAAATTTCCAAGACTGGCCTTGCATGGGATGCCACCCTGGTTCCCTGAGGACCAATCCTGCCTGTACACAGACCGTGAGGTCTTGGAGGGCTCAGTCTCATTCCCTGGCTCCTCACAAGGGAACCACGCTGTGCGGGCACATTGCCAAGGAGTATCAGCGCATGCTTGCTCTCGGGGTGTTACAATACTGATGGTTTGGTGAATCCACTTCTGTGACCCCGTCTCCTGTGTGCCTTGGGGGGAGAGTCCAGCCTGAGGCTTCGTGACTTTTCAGAAAATGTGCCAAGCGGAGTGGAATTGCAATGATAACTTTCGGGGTGACTCCTGAGCGCAGTATGACCTACCCTGAGTCCTGGCGTCTGTGAGAAACCATGGTGGCATTACCCCAAAACTGGGGACTGAGTCCAGACACTGTGGGGTCCTGGAATCCGCTCCAAAGGGCTGCCTTGGACACGTGTTCCCTGCCGTGGATCATGGAGTTCTGTCTGTGCGTCTAAGAACATCAGAGATCATGTTTGCAGGAGCTGAGAACTCAGGAGCAATGTGATCGATGTTTTCTCAGGCACCGGGAAGAACCGTTCCTCCTCTTCTACTCCTTCCTTCACGTCCACACGCCTCTGCCCACGACAGAGCAGTTCCTGGGGACCAGCAAGCACGGCTTATACGGGGATAATGTGCAAGAGATGGACTTCTTCGTGGGTGAGTGGAGGACCAACGTTGTTCTAGTCTCTGTGTTTGGGACCCCCGGAGACTCGCGCTGGTAGCAGCGCAGGCTTTGGGGATGGTGCGGTGAAGTGTGAGCAGTATTATCCTCTCCAGGGAGGGTTGGTCTCTGACAGAAATGAGGGGACAGGCACAAACATTGACCACAGAGACCTACAACCAGTGTTCTCGTCCCACCTGCCACTTCCCAGCGTGGATTTTGCCTCGTTTCTTGTGTCTCCAAATGAGGTCGGACCTCATGTCAGGTCTCGGTGTTTGGTTAAGGACACTTCTTCATCTCGGATTGCTAGGTACTAAGACCTGAATTTCGGGTTGTTAAGCCAGAATCCACACCCTGAGGAGCAATAGCACAGAGATAACAATGTGTTTGTGTAAGACCCATATGGTAGTTAACAAAATAAACTCGCCTTTTGCAACGTCATGACAGGAAGCACGTGTTTGCAAGACCCACACGTAAGTGAGGCTATTTCCACATTGGGATATATCTAGGATAAATATTTCAAAAAGGCATATGATAGAGACAGGATATGGGTATGAGATATAGTTCAGTCTACAAAGACATGCTTAGGAAGTCAAACTTGACCACATGGTCGATGACAAATACTGTTGACTGACCTAGACTTCAAAGGACAGAAAATATTTAAAAAATCATTGGAAACATGAATACCATTTTCACCCAATATGTGCACAACGGGTATGTTTCTGCACGTAATTAGGTGTGTGTGTGGTCTGCGTGTGAATGTCCCCTTCCTCTAGGACAACACCAGGCAGCGTGTTCTTAACATGCTTTCTCGTACCGGTACACTCTCTCCCAAGATCTTTGTTCATCCTACTTACCGTTTGCTCCTTCAAACGGGGTGACGCAACCAACTCAAACTCTTCCCATGGTAACCAAAATAAACCTACTAACTCTGTGCTTTCAAATGTTCAATTACTGACATGGTTTCGAAACATCTCAGTGAATGAGCTGCAAGCCTTGGTGCTACGGCAGCTGAAGAAACCTTCAGGGGGCGTGGGAGTCTCCGTGGACTTGGCTCCCGCACTATGACACACACCGATGGGTGCGCTCACTGTGGCCGAGCAAGCCCTTCGGTGTAGAAGTCTCATCTGGAAACAGAGCTGCTGAAATCCGTACGCACGCTGTTGGCGCCCACCTGCGTGGCCTGTTTTGCTTGTCCTGGCAGACGGGTGCTTTGAGGAAGAATAATCACCTGCTCGGAGGTGTCATTTCGTACATACCCAAAGACGTGGTTGGTGTGAGGAACCTGTCCTAAACCGCCCCCGCCCCGGGCCCAGAACTGCGGCCTCTTTGTTATGTTTCTTTGAAGAAGTTCACGGCCGAGGCGCTGCGTTGGCGTGTGCCCATCGCTCGCAACACGTGCTCGAACAGACGCTTCCACCCGGGTGCTTGGTTAGCAGCAGGCCCGGTTTCAGGGGTGACCTGGATGGGTCCCCATGAAAGTTCTAGAAGGTGGACACCACATTCATGGCCATTATCATGCCCCTAAACAGAGGAGCACACAGAACCGCAAGGTACCTCACGGCGGGGGTACCGGCGCAGGTCCAGGCGAGCAGATTGGCCCCAGGCGGTCTTGCTGCCCCGCTCAGGGGCTGCCTGAGTAAGACAGAGAAGGTAGAGACAGAGATCAGGGAAGAGAGCCAGGTGTCCTGCAGAGCAGCTGGTAACGTCTCAGACGCTTCTCTGCTGTCATTTCATCGGTATCTAGGATGCTTCAGGAACCTCATCCAGCTGGAAGCTTCCCCTGTAAACAGGGCCTCCCCCTCCCAACCTGGGGACCCCCTGGCACCTCAGGGATCCCAGGCAGAGAGAGGTCAGCGGTTCTCACCCGCAGAGCGGGCGTCTCAGGAACGGGTGGCAGGGAACGGTGCGGACCGTGAGGACAAGCGATGAGAGACAGACGGAGGCGCAGAGGCGGGTCTCGGCGGGACCTGTTTGCCGAAAGTCCCTGGGCGTGGAATTGGCACCAGGTGTGGGGTGTGCAAGGGCGACAGGAATGTGCGGCCGCTCGCCCGGGGCGGGCAGCCTGAGCGCCGGACGGGACAGAGCTGCCCGAGACGGCCGTGTCTGTGTTTGCAGGATCAACGCACTCTCCAGGGTCTGCAGCACAAACGATGGTCTGCTGTGCGGAGAGCGTGTTAGTTGCAGACGTTTCTGCTCTTACTATTTAGAGGAGTTGTATAAAATAATCAGATTGTGGTCATGGGAGGGCTGCAAATCCCTTTCTAGCGCCAACCAAAGTACAGACCACGCAGCACAAATAATGCTCCTTTTCTAAGGCGAAATCTGTCATTAGAAAATGATACGTAGGGCATTCTGTAACATAACCATGTCCCGCTCGAGCGCAGCATAGGACATTTTAGGTGACATGCTCAAGTGAAAACTATCAATTATGGCCCCCGTATTATTAGCCTACCAACCACCCTCAAGGAGCTGCTACTTCTGCCAGACCCTGTGGGTGTGCATGTATGTATGTGTGTATGTATATGATGTACATATAAAGTTTGTATAATGTTATATGTAATGTATAATACATGTAGAATATATAATGAGAATTAAATAGTCAGAAGTAGATTTCCTATAGAAGCCTGTATGTATTTCAGGTGATGCTAGAAATAGACACATTCTACTTTGAACATATGTTGATGTCTAGAGAAAGGCATTCGCGACTGAGAAGTGTGCTGCGTGAAGACAGACACACACAGGGTTGGCATGTGAGGATGGAGGCAGAGGCCCCCACGATGGTCAGGGCGGACCGCCTCTACCAGGAGCTAGAAAGAGACGAGGAAGCATTCTTCCATGTGGCCTCCGACAAAGAGAGGGCGAGAGGGAGGGAGACAGAAAGGCAGAGGCAGAGAGACATGCTGCCAATACCTTGCGTTAGCGCTGTGGTCCCCAAGACTACTGCACCCTTAGGAAGCAGCTGGTTTTGGAAAAACCATCGAGTTAAAGACACGGAATGAGGCAGAACAAAAGCTGGAAGAAAGGATGGTGAAATACTAAGTTCCTCCCTCGCCAGAGAGCTAGCTAGCAACAGCTACGGAAAGCATGAGGAAGGCCCAGGTCTCTCCATTTGCCCAAATGTCAGACGTGCCCATCCTAAAGAGCACGCAGGAAGCACCGCGTGTGCTGAGGGAATGTCCGCAGCCCTACGGCATTGTGTTCATTCCTAAACAAATAAAGAGTCCTTATGAATCAATAACAGGGACTCAAGACATCCCAGAGACAATGAGCAAGGGTTCAGGGGCAGATGCGAAGCAGGAACGTCCGCGTCTGCGGAGGCAGAAAGGCATTGCTGTCTCCTCTTCCCATAACCCGCCCCGCCCTTCAACTCCACAGGACAAAGGGCAGTTGCGGAAACATACCCTCTCACAGGCCCCCTCAGCCTGTAAAAGGCGGGGCCTCATAGAGGAGACACACTTTTTCCCTGCCTTCCCTTTTGTTCCTGACTCCAGAGGGACATGCTGGTGGCAGGGCTGGCCAGGATGGTCAAAGTCATCCCCTCGGGTGCGGGATGGGTCTGCCTTTCTCGTGGTCTCAGGCAGACTTCTTGCGGCCATTGATGAGCTGGGGCTGAGAAACCACACACTGGTCTACTTCACGTCGGACCACGGAGGGCACCTGGAGGCAAGGCTGGGCCAGATACAGCTTGGCGGATGGAATGGCATATACAGAGGTGAGGGGGGGGCATCCTGCCTGGTGTGCCTTTGGGAAAAGGGTCTCTTGTGTTCTCCGTGGCGTGGAAGACGAGCCGGAGGCATGCAACGCTCGACAAGGTTATTTTACGGGACCGTTGGTGAAAATAAAGGGCAGGGCCCGGGCAGGGCGGCTCAGTGGGTTGGAGCGCCACCCTGTAACTGAAAGGCCATGGATTCGATTCCCGATTGGGGTACACACCTAAGGTACGGGTTCGATCGGCGCTCAGGGTGTGTTCAAGAGGCAACCGATTGATGTTTCTGTCTGACATCCATGTTTCTCTTTCTCCCCTACCTCTCTCTTGGTCTCTCTCTCTTTTAAAAGATTTCATTTATGTATTTTTAGAGAGAGGGGAAGGGAAAGAGACAGAGAGGGAGAGAAACATCAAGGTGCAAGAGAAATATCAATCGGTTGCCCCTCGCTTGCCCCCAGCTGGGGACCTGGCCTGCAACCCGCGCATGTGCCCTGACTGGGAACTGAACCGGCAACCCTTGGGTTCGCAGGCTGGTACTCCATCCACTCAGTGACACTAGCCAGGGTCCCCCTACCTCTCTTAAAGCAAGGGCAAAAAAACATCCTTGGGTGAGGGGGAAAAAAACGTGAAGTCTTCATGGAGAAAATAGCTGTGAGCAAAAGTTTCTATCAGCAGCCCAAGGAAACACGGTTCTGTGCCCATAGGCTCACCCCGCAGGGGCTCTGTGGGTGGCGGTCCCTGCGCAGGGGTGGATTTTATGGGTGTTCACGGACCACGTTGAACACCCTTAGCGCAGGGCCTCGTCTCCCTGGAACTCCGTTGCTTCGTCCTGTAGGAGGGCAAGCCATGGCCGGCTGGGAAGGCGGCATTCGTGTCCCTGGACTTGTGCGGTGGCCCGGAAAACTGCAAGCTGGGAAAATCATCGACGAACCTACGAGCTTGATGGATATTTTCCCCACGATAGCGGCTTGGACGGGAGCGACGGTCCCTCAGGACAGGTGACGTGACATGATCTGTTCGTAGAGCCTCGTTCTAGCTTTGTCTTGGGACGACGTGGGTCAGAGGAGGTCAACTCTATCCTAACAGGTGCTCTTTCTGCTCAGTACCCAGGGGATTTGTACCTTGGCTGGTGGCTGTGTCTGTTGAGTGTTACCACGTAGCGTTTTACACTGGCGTGATCCTTCTCACATGCTTTGTAGTTTTTATTGGGGAGGAAGATAAAGGCAGGAAGTTTTGGAGATGAGAACATGACCAGGTCAACGCACTCGTCTGTGTAAGAGAAAAAAATAATTCCCCCAGATCGGCTGTTCAAAGTCTAGAGGCAGAGGGTCAGGGAAGTCATTTGACGGATATTTTGAAGTCTATCATGAATATGTTGAATTTTATCATAGTGCATTTCTCCACTCCCTGAAACCTATGGACCTAGGTAGGTTTGGAGCTGATTTTTCTGCTATGTCATGGATAACAGCTTTGAAAGGGAATGTAACAGATCCAAGTGACTTCATTTCTCCCTTCTAAACCCAAAGACTGCTTTTAATGTTTCTTTCTTCCTATAATAGAGCTCATCTAATTCTGGAGGAAAGTAGGATCTGAAGGGTAATTAGAAACAAAAAGAGACCTCTTCAAATGTTTGGCATTAGTTTTAGCCAACATAGGCTTTACAGGGAGTCTGTATAAAATAATAACTGAATAGACCTCTCTTCGTATAAGAGAGTTTATCAAGTTGAGCTAATGTTGAATTCATGACCTTGATACACTTACCTATTAGTTCCAATAGATTTGGAAGGATTATCAATAAAGACAATGACTTTATGATCATTTTTAGGATTATCGGGGACTTATTATCCTATTTCCTAGGATGAGGTAGGTTTTATAATTACTGTTCTCTAATATAAGGTATAAGGTACATTTTCTGACATAAGATCAGCAATAGCCCTGGCCAGGTAGCTCAGCAGGTCAGAGCATCATGCTGATATGCCAAGGGTGTTGATTCTATTCCTGGTCAGGGCACGTGCAAGAATCAAGCAATGATGTATCAATTAGTAGAACAACAAACTGATGTCTCTCTTTCTTGCTTTCTCAACTCACTTAAACCTTTAAACAATGCTCACAGTAATATGTCTACAATTTTTCAGAGATTCTATTCAGTTTGTTTCTAAGGGTGGTGATATCGTTTTCAATGCAACTCTCATTGGCTGTGGAGAACTTCTGTGATCGCGGACTCAGCACTCACACGATGGAGCACTTATTTCTTCTTTATTCAGATGGAGTATGTATGAACGCATCCGTTGATGGTGACGTTTCACTGTGAAAGCTTACGGCTTTTTTTGGGCTTTATTTTCCTCACTCGTGTACAGGCCGATTGATGGCCGCAACCTGATGCCCTTGCTTCTGGGTGACGTCGAGCGTTCCGAGCATGAGTTCCTCTTTCACTACTGCGATGCGTACCTACACGCTGCACGCTGGCACCCGCGGGACAGTAAGTACGCTGGCCCGTGTGCCTCTCAGAAACCAAGAGGAGGGTCCCGTCCGCTGATCCTCAATGCTTCCTGCCTTTGAGCCCCTAACCAATTCCTTTTAGTCTGGCATTACCAGCAAAAACACCTTCTTCAGAAGTTTCTAAGTGCTCTCTGTGGGAAAGGCAGGAAGGTTACTTTAAGAAATATCGATTTTGAGCTCTGGTTGAGTGGCTTATTGGGTTGGAGCATCAGTCTGTAGACCAAAGCATTTTGGGTTCCGTTCCCGGTCCCGGCACTTATCTAGGTGGAGGGTTCGATCCCTAGTCAAGGTGCATATGGGAGGCAACCGATGGATATTTCCCTCTCTCTCTCTCCCCCTCTGTCTCTGTCCCTTCCCTTCCCCTCTCTCTAAAATTAATAAATTTCCTCGAGTGGGGATTATAAAAAGCAAACAAACAAAAAAAAGAGCGAGCAATTTTGAGAAGCAGAACTAATTATAGCTGCCAAAGATGTGTAATATTATCCTAGGCATTCTGGTGTTCCGCAGGCTGACTGATCAATACATTTGTTTGTGATCCAAGACCAAGACCAGCAAAGGCTCAGGAAGGTACAACCGGACAAAGTGAATGGGCCTGTCGGTTGGATGCCTCTGACACGTCTTTTGTTCTCCAGGCGAGGCTGTGTGGAAGGTGCATTACGTCACCCCTGTGTTCCTGCCCCCAGGAGCCCAGGCGTGCTACGAGATCAAGCTTTGTAAATGCACTGGGGAATATGTCAGCTCCCATGACCCACCCCTGCTCTTTGATCTCTCCCGGGACCCCTCGGAGTCCACTCCGCTGACCCGCGACACAGAACCCCTCTATGACCTAGTGATCACAAAAGTATCGGAGGCCGTAAGACAACACAAGAAAACCATCATCCCCGTGGAGCTACAGCTGGAAAAAGAACGGAACCATGACCACATATGGCTGAGGCCCTGCTGTGGGGTGTTCCCTTTCTGTATTTGTGACAAAGAAGGAGCACATCATCCTGAGAAGCTACAGTGGACTGAGCACAGGCAGTGAAAGGCGGCCAATGCTACCACTTTCCGATGGGCGAGGGGTGGATTTGACAGCCGGGAATTTGTCGCACTTTCTTGATGATTAAATGTCCGTTGTGCCTTGGCTCGGTGGCGCCTTGGGCTGGAGCATTGTCCTGTACATCAAAACGTGGCAGGTTCGATGCCCGTCTGGGACACGTAGCTAGGTTGCCGGGTTGATGTCAGGGCGCATATGGGAGGTAATGGATCCCTGTTTCTCTCTCTCTCTCTCTCGAAAATCAATAAACACATCCTCCTGTAGGGAAAAATAAAGAAAAGAAAAGAAATGCCGATTGGTTGTAATCCTGTCCATTGATGTTTCAGGGGATTCTCCGTGTTCAATGCGTATCTCATTTCCCAGGTTTGAAACCTGGCTTTCAGTGTTAGGAAACAAACATTCATAGCCATTTTTCTCATTCCCCCTGTGGCTCTGCCAAGCAAAATGTATAAGCGAAGCCCTGTGGGCGTGAACCCAGTTGTTTCTTTTTTGTAGACTTTACTGGGGTGACATTGTTTGATCAAGTTATATAGGTCTCAGGTATACAAGTCCACAATGCCTCATCTGTGTATCGTGCTGTGTGTTCGCCCCCAAGTCAAGTCTTCTTGTCGACATTGACCCCCCTTTCCCCTCTCCTGCCTCCCCCGCTCCGTTCCCTCTGGTCAGCACTACACTCTTCTCTGGATCTGGGAGTCTGGGTTTTTTTTTTTTTTTTTGCTTAATCCTTTCACATTTTTAAGCGAGTCCCCTAACTCCCTCCATGTGGACAGCTGTCAACCTGTTCTCTGTATCTATGTCTGTTTTTACTTTGTTCGTTTATTTTGCTCATGAGATTTCACACATAAGTGAGATTTCTCTAACAGACTTACTTCACTGAGCAAAGTGCTCTCCAGGTCCATCCACGCCATTGCAAAACGTAAGAGTTCCTCCTTTTTGACGGCTGCGTGGTATTCCTTTGGGTATATCGCACAATGTGGAACTCCCCTTAGCAACTGGTGTCTGATACTCTGGACGTCTCTCCAACTGTTGATAAAACATTGTCCACAAGAAGGAGATCCCTGAGGGCGACAAGAACGGGAAATAAAAAACCCAGAAAAGGCACCTGCGTTGGTCTTAGTGGGTTTGTGGGTTGGGTTTGATCCCTCAGACTTGCGGGGCAAGCGGCTTGGCCCGTATTGGCCACAGAAGGGTGACTTGGAGAGACTGTGGCATTTCTGAGCTTTCGAACACGCCCTTGTTGAATCGCACGTCGGATCGGAAGGTTCCTTTGGAACTCAGAATGCCCTAGAACAGTGAGAATATTAACCTAGGGAAGGGTCTTGTGATATTGTCCCCTGCAATGCCTTATTCTACGGATGAAGACAAGGTGCTGCCCAGATACGCAGGGACTTAACCAAGGCCACGTGCTAACGATGAACCACCCGCTGGGAACCCAGGATGCTGACCCCTAACACCTTCCCCCCTGTTTACTTCCTTTAGTTCATCGGGCACAGGAGGCTGTTAAGGAAGAGCGGTATAATGAGTGGGCCCAAAAGTTGGTTTGGTTTTTTCCGTAGGATGGCTCGAGTAGTGCTTTGTTGTCTTGAACTTCATCTGAAACAATTTTTTGAGAATTGTACAGTGACAGCTATCCTACCGGCATGCATTTAAAAAACACTTACCAAAACGGGTGAACTTTGGTGTGGCCACGTTAATATTGAAGACGGAAGAAGATACGCCACGTTTTCGGCATATTTGCTTTATTATTTCACGAAAGGTGAAAACACAGCTGAAAAGCGTAAGAAGATAGACTTGTGATCAATTGTGCATTGATCACAAGCATTTACGATTTAATTTATGCCGTGTACGGAGAAGGTGCTGTGATGGACGGAGCATGTCAAAGGTGGTTTGCAAAGTTTTACGCTGGAGATTCCTCGCTGGACGATGATGCTTCATGGTGGGGTAGACCCGCTGCGGTTGATAGCGATCCAATGGAGACATTCATCGAGAACAATCGCCATGCATTCTACCACACAGACGATAGCCGACACGCTGAAAATATCCAAAGCAATGAAGTAATTAATGAAAATGAAAAATGTGTCTTTCTTTTTACGGAGAAAACTCGACAGACTTTTTGGCCCATGCGATACCTACAGTCAAAGAAACGCTTTTCTGCACGGTGGTATCTACGCAGGTGAAAAACAACACGGTCGCTAGAGTTTGACAGCCTGATTTCTCGACCAGTAGAGCTCCTGCCAGCCAGGGGGTTGGGGGCAGGTGCCTAAGAAATCTACGCTGCAGTTGTTCCATTTGCAAAATGCACGTGTGTAACTGTGCATACCTTATGAGACTCCTGTGCAGATTCGTAGAGAAAGTGATGAGGAAAGATGTAACTCACAGCTCCATACAGAGCAGTACATAAAAATTTGCTTGTGTGTTCAGTTCCAGAACCCCGCAATAAAGCGAGTGTCATTATAAAACAAGCCACGTGCTTTATTGGGTTTTCCAGTGCATATAAAATTTATGTTTACATTCCATTGTCGTCTGTTAGGTGTGCAATGGAGTTACATTGGTAAAAACAATGTATATACCTAATTATAATACAGTTTATTTCTAAAAAGTCCTAACCGCCATCTGGGCCTTCAGTGAGTGATCATGATTTTGCTAGCCAACGGTCCTGCCTTCCAGTTATATTAAAAAAGTGCAATATGTGTAAAGCATAAAAAAGCAATATGTAATAAACCAAGTATGTCTGTATGTTATCTATTAAAGCGATAGAGACCTTGGCTATTTGTCCAAATCCGGCAAACTGAATAATTAATTAACCGTTGACCAAAACGAAGTTATAAATTATAAAATTCAGTCTCCATACATCGTGTCTTAAATTTAGTTTCTAAGTTGATACCGGGGAAATTTATGTCGGGGGGGGCGGTGCAGGGGGTGGGGGGGACATGCCTTTCACCTCCTCTCCGTATAGCTGTGAACCGGAAACTACTCTGGAAATGTCTTTAGACGGAAACATTCTTTACGTTGCGCAGCAGTAACAGGTACTAATCTAAGCCTTATTAAAGATCCGATGTATTTACTCGTTAGATTCATGTAACCGCTAGAGGTCACACTAACATAGCTGGCTGCAAAGCTGACCGGCAATTCCTACCCAGAACAACTTTTGAAATGTGTCCATTTCTGGCAAAGGTCTCATCCATCGAAACTCCAACCCTAACAAAGAAATTGGCAAAGGGCAGGAGCCCTTTCCGATGTGTTCCCTCGATGGCATCAAGAAATCCGCCCCATTGGCCTTATGGGGGACGGAGTGGGGAATTTACAGCCGCTACTCAAATGGTCGTGACTTGGCTGTGATAAGACTTTTGTGGTCGGACTAGCTGAGTGCAAAAGTTAGGGAGACTCAGGCAGACCGAGAGGAATACTGCAAGTACGTAACTGATCGTGTGGAATTTTCTAGGCAATTGTGCATTGATCACAAGCATTTACGATTTAATTTATCACCCATTCTGCCTGTGGCAAGCATACATTGGGTACCTACAATGACCCAGGAACCGAGTTGAATGTGGAGCAAAGATGTATGGTTTCTCTTATCTTGAGACTCTATCCCCCTATTATTCTAGATGCGCGATAGATGAAGTTAGAAAAAGAGAGAGAGAAACAGAGAGAGATGAGAGAGAGAGAGAATTGAAGGTAATCACAGATAATCGCAACATGCTTCATAATCATCAACATGCACTCTTCTGCTCTCAGATATAACTTCGGCAAGGGAACAACGCCTCTGACTGACATGGCATTGTGAAATGGCATTGTTTTAGGATACTTGCCATCTGATGCTAATGGGACTTGGGACCAAATCGGACCTTGGTTTCGGATGGCCTGGTAGGCGGGAAAGACCCCTACGGTATTAAGGTCGTGTGACCTCTGTTTCTTGGGCCGGCGGGTGGCTCCCGAGACCCGGCCTCTGGTCAGAGGGGGTTTCTTTCGCTCGGGCCCAGAAGCCAGTGGGCGAGACAGGCGGCCTGAGTGACCAAGCAGGCCTGTCTGTGTGGGTTCACGGAACGCCTGTCAGGGCGGGGTGTTGGGGGCCCGAGCCGTTGAGCCGATGCCTTGGGGCGATGGTAGTGGAGCAACAGACATTCTCCGGGGTCACAGGGCAGCCTACACCACGGGACGGAAAGATAGGAGTTTTGGACTCGGTAGACTTGCTGCGGCCCAGCTCAAGTTTCCATTGCGTGGACTTGAGTGTTTTCAATTGTTTCTCAGTACAATGGACATTGGATATTATTTTATAGCAGTTGCGGGTGTCCACACAGTAGTTAGACAATGGCATATTTAGCAAAACGATTCCCTATGTATTTCCAGTACCTGTTGGGCACTATTCATGGTTATTGCGATATTCCTGACTCTCTTCCCTGTGCTGGACTTTACGGCCTCCTGACTCTTCCGTAACCACAATCTGTGCTGCTCAGTCCCTCCCCCTTTTCCGCCCAGTGCCCAGCCGGTCCCCTCTGTCAACCGTCAGTCTGTTCTCTGTGCCTGTGAGTCTGGCTGTTGACATGGATGATCAGATGCCACCTATCAGGGAAGTCACGTCGTATTTGTCTTCCTCCGACTGGCTGATCTCCATGAGCATCATACCCTTTAGATCTTACCCAAAACGGTAAGATTTTCTCCTTCTTCACGGTTGAGTACTATTCCATTGCATACATGTGCCGCAGCTTTTTTCTCCACTCATCTGTTGGGGGACACTGGTGTTGCTTCCGTATCTTGGTGATTGTAAACAATGCTGCAATGAAGTTAGCGGTGCACTTCAATGAGAGGAAGTGAAACATCGACTCAAAAGTTGCCCAGTGTTTTCCCCCTCCGCCATATCTCTTTCACCTGTATTCTTTCTCTGAATGCTAAAGAGACCCCTGCTTCCTCTTGGCAGGACTTTAATCAATGATCCAGATCCCCAACATCCCACCTGAGAGTCAAATGTAAGTCTCCGATGAGGGAATACC